CTTCCTTAGCAGCTGAATTGCCTTTCCAAGCTCTCCTTTGGCAAAGCAGATCCTGCCCATGTTATAAAAAGTTTCAGCCACTTTTTCACTATAGTCACCGTAGCTGTTGATCTGGGACTTCAATGAAGACTTAAGTAGTCTATAAGCCTCCTGAGGGATAAAAACATTTTTTAAAAAATCAGCCTGGCAATTCTAAAGGAGCATGCTGGTTCTATTCCATGAGCTCTATGGAGAAGGCATTCTACCCAACAATGACATAACCCAGCAGGATCAGTCAGCTGTGATGTGTCACCTAAGTAATTTGTTTCTATTAAGAGTTAAAGTTCCAAGCTTATAATTAATAATAGTTAATTTGTATGTATGATATTAATCTTCATGGCTACTCTATGAGAGAGGAACTATTATTATACTCATTTACAGAAGAAGGAATGGAGACTAATAATAGCTAAGACTCTTGCCAAGATCACAGTCTATAGTTGGCAGTGTCAGGATTGAAACACCAGGCAGTCTGAATTCCCTGGCTCTTACTCTTTTTTTTAACATACTTTTTATTTAAAAATTTTTCAAACCTTCAGAAAAGCTGAAAGAGTAGTAGAATGAATACCATAACATTTTAAACTAGATTCACCTTTTGCCACATTTGCTTTATTGTGCTTTCTTTAAAAAAAATAGTATCTATACATATATAAATATAAATGTACATAGATATATATATATATTTTTTTTTCTTTGAGACAGAGTCTCACTCTTTTGCCTGGGCTAGAGTCAGTGCCATGGCATCAGCCTAGCTCACAGCAACCTCAAACTCCTGGGCTCAAGCAATCCTCCTGCCTCAGCCTCCCAGTAGCTGGGACTACAGGCATGCGCCACTGCGCCCAGCTAATTTCTCTATTTTTAGTAGAGACGGGGTCTCGCTCTTGCTCAGGCTGGTCTCGAACTCCTGAGCTCAAACAATCCGCCCGCCTCGGCCTCCCAGAGAGCTAGGATTACAGGCATGAGCCACCGTGCCCGGCCCATAGATATATTTTTGATGAAAATAAATTGTAGTCATAAAGATGCTTTACCCCTAAATACTTAAGCATGTGTCATCTTAGAAAAAGATATTCTCCTTTATAACTACAATAACATTATCACTCCAATTTTACATCAATACAATACTACTAATATGTGCTACATATTCAAATTTCCCATTGTCCCAATAATGTTCTTTATAACTTTTTAAATCTAGCGTTTAATCAAGCATCACACGTTGCATTTAGTTTTCATTATTCTTTAGTCTCCTTCAATCTGTAACAGTTCTCCTGCCCTTTTTAATCTTTTATAACAATTTTTTTTAAGATGGGATCTTACTATATTGCCCAGGCTGGAGTGGAGTGGCTATTCATAGGCTCAAACATGGTGCACTGCAGCCTCAAACTCCTGGGCTCAAGCGATTCTCCCACCTGAGTCTGCCCAGTAGCTGGGACTATGAACTTCTGTGCCTGGATATTGACATTTTTTAAAAGTCCAGACCAGTTGTCTTTCAGCCCAGCTCTCACTCTTAACTACTTACTATACAGTAAAAAAGAAAATTAATTGTACATTGAAAATGATTCACAGGACAATTGTGCTTGTACTCATTTGCCTTTCCAGTACGCTTTCTTTAGAGAGAGTAAAGAGGTGTAACTATTGTTGGAACCCTCAAGAATTGCACATAACCCACTTCACTGCCTGTATTATCTATGTGGACATGTATAAACAGAACATTTCTTCATAATTGGGTTGTATATGTAATCATCATCCCTTATGTGCCACGTCAGAACAATTATAAAAAGGAAGACAATTGCTGCTTTCCATAAAACACTGCCAATAATTCATGAATCTCAAGGTTATTATAATATTTTTGCATTTTTCAGAGTAGAAAAGCATACATATAATTAAATTATTCTCCTGTTCATTCTTCATTGTATAAGCCTTTTACTTTCTTGGTTAAGTTTGTTCCTAAGTGTTTTATTCATTTTGATACTGTTTAAATGGGATTTTCTTAATTTCATTTTCAAATTGTTCATTGTTAGTATATAAAAATGCAACTGATTTTTGTATGTTGATTTTCTCTCGTGAACTTTGCTGCATTTATTAGTTCTAACAGTTTTTTGGGATTTTTTTTTAGTGGAATCTTTACGGTTTTCTATATAACATCATGTCATTTTGTGAACAGAGATAATTCTACTTTTTCCTTTCAAGTTTGGATATCTTTTATTTCTTTTTCATGCCTAATTGCTCTGGATAGTATTTCCAGTACTATGTTTCTGATTTTAGAGGAAAAGCTTTCAGTTTTTCTCCACTGAATATGATATTAGCTGTAGGCTTTTCCTATATGGCCTTTATTATGTTGAGCTAATTTCCTTCTATTCCTAGTTTGTTGACTGTTTTAATCATGAAAAGATATTAAATTTTGTCACATGCTTTTTCTGCATCTTTCCAATTTTTGTATGATTTTTATCCTTCAATCTCTTAAGGTGGTGTATCACAATGATTGATTTTTTTATACTGAATCATCCTTGCATCCCAATGATAAATCCCACTTGGTCATGGTGTGTGACTATTTTAATGTGCTGTGAATTTATTTTACTAGTATTTTGTTCAGAATTTTTGTATATAGATTCATCAAGAATATTGGCTTGTAATTTTCTTTTCTTGTAGTGTCTTTTTCTGGCTTTGATGTCAGGGTAACGCTGGCCTCATAAAATGAGTTTGGAAGTGTTCCTTTCTTTTCAGTTTTCTGGAAGGGTTCGAAAAGAATTGGCAATAATTCTTCTTTAAATGTTTGGTAGAATTCACCAGTGAAGCCATCTGGTCTGGCTTTTAATTGTAGGGAGGTTTTTTGATTACTGATTCAATTTTCTTATTAAAGATCTGTTTAGATTTTCTTTTTCTTCATGATTCAGTCTTGCTAGGTTATATGTTTCTAGAAATTTATTCATTTCTTTCAGGTTATCCAATTTGTTGGTATATAATTGTTCATAGTAGTCTCTTAATAATCCTTTTAATTGTTGTGGCATCAGTTTATGTCTTTTCTTTCATTTTATTTGAATCTTCCTTTTTTCTTAGTTAATCTATTAGGGAAGAGGCTCTAGCAGCTCAGGCTCTTTACCATTATTTCCCATAAAGTGTGCTTCTCTGGGTGAAGCAGGCTGGCATTTCAGTTCAACCCAAGGAATTTTCTCTTCTTTTTCTGACCATTTTCTTTCACAAGTTTCAGCAGGCTATCTCAGCTTTTAGAATGCTTAATATACTCAATACATACATCCATTCTGTTGGCAAGAATCTTACCCGGAGCTTGTAGGTTTACAACGCCAACAGCATGTGGGGTAACAATGTAGACTCTTCCAGTTTTGCCATAATAACACCTGTGGGGCATTTCTTTTCGAGCAGTGCCTACTCCCTTGATATGTACAATATCATTTTTCTTGCAGATTTGCATAAATGTGACCAAAGGAACAACTCCATGTTTTCTAAAAGCCCTAGAATGTATAGTGGATGTCTCTCCTCTTTTCTCTTTGTTTATTATTCTGATGAATTTCTGAAAGGTGGTAGTTCTAGCCAAACAGGTTCTATTTTTTATCAGTAGCAGATTAAACCTCTATTTATTCCCCCCCAAATTATATTCCATGGGAATACAATTCCCAAGACTCTGGGTTTCTATTATGGTCCTCTAGAATAGGCCTAGAGCCTCACATTTCATTCAAAAGTTATTGAGTACCCACCATTTGCCAGTTACCATTTCAGGCACTGAAGACATGGTAGTAGACAAAACAGACAAAAATTCCTGCTCTCGTGGAGGTTTCTTTCTAGTTGTAAAGATGACCTGTCCATAGTCCTGCCTGTTGTTTAAATTTAGAGCCACATGGTACTTAGCTCCTTTCACAACTTCGTCCAGGAGCTTGGTACACTAAGAAGCACTTGGTTAGAAGCAGAAAGCTCTTTAGGCATTGGTACTGGTATTTTATCACTAACAAGTCATAATGTTCGTTGCACCAGAACATAAGGATAAAATACGACATTGTGGCAAAGTATTTTCACATCTTTAAAAATAAAATTAAATACTAGGTCAACCTAGGGTTTTGGGATCTCTCATGTTAATCTTCTGAATCAACAGAAAATATCATGGCCACAGAAAAAAATGTTGCAAATCACTATTAGGTTTTTGCCCTTATAAGTAGCAGTTAAAATAGAAATAAAATGTCAGTATTTATAAAAATGTTTAGATATGGTATAAAAGTAACTTTTCTTCATTCCTGGAAATAAATTCTTACTTATTGTTCACCTATAACCCTACTCTTAAACTGGTTGTCACATGGCCAGCAAGACTATGTCAAATCCATCCGTGTTTCTCACTTGCTTGAAAAAGTATAAAGTTGCTTGGTCAGATTAAAAAGTCATGTGGGATCTCATGACAGACAAAGGTCTTCACTGTGTTCAGGCCAAAGTTTTTGACTAATATTATAGCTTAGACTCATAGGACTTATAAGTAAACAGATCAGAACAAAAAAAATTTTCTATAACTTTTCTTAATGTGAAGACAAAGTTGTAGCTAATTAAGAGTTGAAGATCAGATCGAGAGAAAAACACCACCAACAAGAGAAAAAAACTGGTAGCTAGATCCAAAGGTGGAAGCCAATTTTGACTTAAAGTATTAAATTTACACAGCCAAAGCTTATATGTGTCCTAGATTCGAAGGATCTCAAGTTATCAAGATGCAAGAAAAACACCTTTTTCCCATCCAAATACTAACCAGGTCTGACCCTGCTTAGCTTCAGGTGAGATCCGACACATTCAGGGTGGTATGGCCGTACACAAAAAACTTTTTTACTAATATCTCAAGCTGTACCAGTTCTGTGTGTTATCCCTAATGTAACCTGGGACTTGTTTGAGCTCCAGTTTCTGAAATGTAAAATAAAAAAAAAAATTGTTTTGGTCTAACGAACTAGGAATTATGTCTATCAGGTGATCATATTTACCCGTTTTTCCCCATTTTGGACAAGCCATTTGCAAAATTCTTCAATGGTGCTTAGTGTTTCAAAATCCTTTGAGCCCAAAGTTGCTTGATATGCACTGATACTTTTTATAAAATATATCTCAACAGCATCTGGAAAAAATGGAAATAATTATATAAGGCAAACTTCTGACTTTACAAGTGTCTAATATCAGCTTTGGCTCAACTGATATTTTTATGCTTAAAGTCCATGCCTGTTCTCATTCCAGGTCTCATAAGGACCCTTAAAAGGTTCAAAATATGCGACTTGAAGGCATCAGATGATATTTTGATTTTTATTCTCCATATGAAATACAGGGATTTTCTGTAGAAAAAGAAAGCTTCTGTCTGAATAGTTTTAGTATCCCTAAGACCCCAAATACTATATAAAACTACCAGGTGCACTACAAGACTATATTTTAACTAAATTAAACTCTGATAGCCAAGTACTGTCTACTGAGGTTTCTGTTTTGTGGGGTGGAGGGAAGTGAGTTGTAATTTTAAAAGTACTTTTAAAATACAGTTGTTACTGTTAGAAAATTTAATCCTCTAACTGGAAATTAACAAACACCAAAATGGATTACTTTTGTAGGCAGAGAAAATAAACATTTTAAAAATGTTCAAATTATATTCTTTACAACTCCTAAATTCCTCCGACAGGCCATTGGATCCATCAGTGTTCATTAATCTGATCAAGCCAGTTGAGAATGATACACTGTCCTCTCTCACCAGTTTATTTGTGTCTCTCCCAAAACCACCCACTTTCAAAAAGATGACCTTGCCAGACAACAACTATTGTTGAAGTATAAGTTAATCATTTGGCTTTTCTCTAGAACCCCAATAGCTCACTTTCGAATATAGGTCAAGGAAATTCTAACTGCTACAAACACCCTCTCTTGTAAATGAGAGGAAAAGAGTCAAGGAGATTGAGAGTGGAGGAAGAGGGGAGGAGAAGCCAATGGTTTTCTCGTTTATCACTAGATTTCCTCATCAACCAATATATCACAGGTCACATTCATAGTGTGTATGATCCCTGCTATTTATAAAGGTAATTTTTGCTGAGTTTTTAAGGAAATAAAGGAAATAGAAATCAGATGATTTTTTTTTTTTTGGTTCTGATGTTCCAGCTAATTTGGGGGAATATTATCAGGTCTAAATTCATGTGTGATTGATTTTGTATGTAATCCTGACCAGCCTATCTTTCCACTACAGGCATGAATAGCTAATTATAATCTTATTTATAGATAGACTATTTGCCAGTGTGTTTCCCTTACATGACTGGGAAACGATGATAACTGCAAGGCCACCTCTTCTACCTACCCCTGTGCTGGGCCTCTCCAGACATGGCATAAGCTTTGGCAAGTAATGCGCTTGTCTCTGCAGTTTTAGGGCTGACTTCAGTGAACACAGAAACACAGATAGAATAAGCCTGGAATAAAGAAAATTATGACAAGGTAAGTACCCAAATGAGAGTGTTTCACTGTGGATTTTCTAGTAGCTCCCATAGAATTGCTAGTTGATTGAAAGCCAATATATAGCTAATCATGGAGTTAGATGAGAGATGAGTTTGAGTCCCAGCCCTGCCACTTCCTAGCTGTTGAGTCTTGAGCAAGTAATTTCACCTTCACACATGGAAGGAATATTTAATTCCCACAGATTAGGGTTTGGGAAAGATTGAGATGGTATATGCAAAGCACTGGGCATGGTACTCATCACATGGTAAGTTCTCAATAAATGTTAGCTAGAATTATTTTTATTAGGTTTCATAGCAAAAATAAAACCATAATCTTAGCTCAGTCTCTCAAAAGTTCAGTCTCAAAGGCAGTCTTGTAAAGCATGGATCCTAGAGCTACACTGGCTGAATTCCCATCCCAGCTCAGCCACTTACTATGACATAAGTCACTTAACCTCTTCCAATGTAAAATATGGATGATATTTATCACAGTTATTATAAATATTAAATGAATTAATATGGAATTCTATGCAGCCACAAAAAACAATGGTGATCTAGCACCTCTTGTATTTTCCTGGATAGAGCTGGAGCCCATTCTACTAAGTGAAGTATTCCAAGAATGGAAAAACAAGCACCACTGTACTAACCATCAAATTGGTTCTAACAGATCAACACTTACGTGCATATACAGTAATAACATTCATTGGGTGTTGGGCAGATGGGAGGGGGGAGGAAGGGATGGGTATATATACACCTAATGGGTATGGTGCACAGAGTCTAGGGGATGGACATGCTTGAAGCTCTGACTCGGGTGGGGCAAAGGCAATATATGGAACCTAAATATTTGTACCCCTGTAATATGCTGAAATAAAAAAAATTAAAAAAATAAAATAAAAAGAATTAATATGTGTAAACTGTTTAGAATACCACCTGGCATATATAGTCAAGACTAAACAAGTGAAGGATTTTATTATTATTTGTGCTAAATGGAAGGGGTAACACTTAGGAAGGAGAAAGAAGAAAACATCTAGTCTACACCCACCAGCAACGAAAGAACAATCTGTGCTTAATATTTTACAGGCCAAACACTATGAGGTGTTTCAAAGAGCTGAAGGGATTACCAGACAACACTTTGGAGCCAAGATGCAGAGCAGAGTTGTTACAAGCACAGGCTCTAGAGCTAAATTTTTTGAGTTCAAATACCTGCTTTACCACTTGTTAGCTATACAACTTCAGCTGAATTAGCTGTAACTCTCATCCTTAAAATGAGATAAAATAATAATGGTGCCTATTAATACTTCAAAGGGCTAGTATATGGAGTAAATGAATCAATACATCTTCAAGTGCACTTAATAAAAGCATTCCATAAATTTTAATTCTTATTTTTTTTTTTGGTGGTGTTGGGAAACACTGATATTTATTGTTTTATCCATTCTGATCTGACCACTGCTTTAAGAAAGTCTTGAACACAAAAACAAGACCGGCTTTCTCTGTAAGCAATGGACTTCCTGCCCTCAGAGCAGCATTCCCTAACATTTCTCCACTGTGTGATGCTTATAATCTTAGATTGTAGGATTGCTTGTGATACCTTTTCTTCAGTTTCTGTTTTCATGCATACTGTTAGAATGCACTGCACTTTTTCGATGATATAGGAAAGCCACTTTTCAATCTGCTTGTCACTGTGGAAGATACGTGAAGCCACAAGCAGCATTCTCATTTGGAAAAGAGAAAGGTGGCTTTAATAGTTTCAAGTACATGATACACAGAAGTGCCCTAAACTGTTATCATATAGACCCAACATTCCTTCCTATGTTTTATTTTGGTTTCTCCTGGGCATTTGTCAAGTTAGTTACCTCCAAGTCAAACACCCTTTTGTTGGTTTAACCTTAGATTTGGAAATATAATCAACTAGACTGTCTTAAAAAACAAATGACATAGTTACACTAAAATACCATGATTTTTCATTTAAAAGGCCTTTTGTGTTTCAGTTGCCCCTGTATCTTTTTTCCTTGGATTAGACTCACATTTGGATTCTTCTTCCCAGCACCTACAGAGATCAGAAGGGGTGCCAGAGAGGGAAAGTGCTGGGCTACAGATTAAATGATACAGCAGGTCCACCCACCTGAATTAGTGCTCTCTACCCAGGTCATTTAAACTTGACAAAGAGCTCCTGTGTGGATCTGGAGGGAAGTCAGGGTTAAAACAGAATCGATCCCACCGCTTGTTCTGAGAAGCCCAAGCTTCCCTGACTCTGGGCCCAAACAAGACCACCCAAGCTGGGCCGCAGCCAACCCACCAACCTGCTGCAAGTACTGGATGGCTTGGTCGTGGTTCCTCCTCAGCTGCTCGATCTGAGCAATTTCCTCATATAAACCAATCAGATCTGACGTCCTATCACCCTTGGCAGCAATAACATTGCCAATTGCCTTTTCAAAGTATGCCAGAGCTAGGTTCAGCCTGTGGATGGCCAAGGAGGCTCTATAAGAAAAGGTACGAAGATGGAAAGTCACAGGGGCCTCTTACTTTGCAGACACAAAAGGAATTGATTCCAAGAACTAAAGAATTTGGCCTTCATAGGCCAATAATCTGGGTGGTTGGCTCAAAATCCAGCCTTGCTGTAAATAAACTCCTATTATCCTGCAGTTTACCCACCAGATCTCACTAACTGCCATTCATGAAAGCCATTAATAAGTTATGCTATCATCTAATTTTATTAAAAAGCAAATGGAAAAAATGGCTTCCAGCAAGTCACAAGATGGGATAATTTACTCATAAACAGAGTTTCTAAAATCAAAGTTTTATTACTGCTGGTTCACTCTCTTTCAGGCCAAAGAAAGTGTTTGCTTTGTTTAATTTATTTTGGTTTATTCCTCCTCAGTTAAAAATGAGAAAGGATAGAGAAAACAACATAAATATCCCCCAAAACGGAGTGGTTGAGTAAATTATGGCACATCATATAATACTTCAGAAACATTAAAAATCATGTTTTCTTTTTAGACTAACAATATGAGAAAATCAAAGTGTGCTAAGTGAAAAAAGCAAGATATAAAACTGCACTCAAAATATGAGATATATATATCTACATATCTCCAAAATGTTCACAGCAATTATGTCTGGGTGGTGATATTACAACTGACTTATTTTCTTCTTCATACCTGTCTGTATTTTCAAATTTTCCTTAACAAAATTATGAATATAATTCTTTTAAAGTGAGATAAAATAGTATTTCATTCAGGTTTATCTTTCTAGAGATAGCAAGGCAAAATGAGAACATGGGTGGTTTTAAAGCCAGTTCTGACAGTTATTAGCTTTATCAAATTCTAAGAGCTTACATTTCCTTCCAAATAAAATACAGTTAAGCATATCTATATTATAAGGTTATTGTAAAGATTAAATATTATATGTAAAATCACCTAACATACAGTAGATACACAATCAATATTACTTCCCTGTAACCCCTATCTTTGTATTCCCAAATTGAATTACAAATATATGTGTGACAGTCAAGCACAGTGGCTCATGCCTATAATCTCAGCACTTTGGGAGGCCAAGGCAAGAGGATTGCTTGAGACCAGGAGTTTGAAACCAGCCTGGGCAACATAGCGAGGCCTCATCTCTACAAAAAACAAAACAAAAAACCAAAAATACATGTGTGAGCTGGGCACAGTGGCATGCGCATGTAGTCCCAGCTACTCAGGAGGCTAAGGCAAGAGAATTCCTTGAGCTCAGGAGTACAAAGCCAGCCTGGACAACATAGCAAGATCCTATCTCTAAAAAAGTTTTTAAAAATTAAAAAATACATATTTATGTGTTCAAAATTATTTTATAGGAGGCATTTTAGCAACAGTCACAATTTTTTTAAGCTGGGTGGCTTATTTTTCCCCTGAAGATTAACCAAAAGAACACTGGTATGTTACCTGATGATTCTTTATAAAAGTAATTTTTTGATCAATGAGACCACTATTTCCCTAGCCCATAAGAACATAAATTATAGAATTATAATGGCTCTTATCAAGAGCTTATAGGGAGATATTAGCAAGGTGTCTGTCCTGAACAATCCTGCCTTAGTTTCTCTACCTTTAAAATGAAAAAAGGTATTTGCCTTTACTAGATATTTAGTCAATATCAACTCACTGTGTCAGATGCCCAGTTACAATCCTAGGTCTTCTATTAGTTCTATCACCTTGAGTTAATCTTTCTGTGCCTTAATTTTCTTATCTATAAAATTAAAGTAATAAAACTACCACCCTCATAAGCTGTATGGAGGCTTCCATTAAATAAATTATGTAAAACATTTAGAACAGTGTCTAGTATGTAGTTATACTTAGCAGGCATTCCAACACTTAGTACAGTGCATGCACAAAATAAGTACTCAATAAATATTGTAGAATGAAGGAATGAAATGAGCACTAGAATTTTTCTGAAAAAGGAAGGAGGCCATCTTTCACATAAGGCAGAAAAACTTTAGCCACTAAAGACATTCCAATTTATAGCCCTATGGACTTAAGTCAATAGTTTGATTTAGCTCTGGACATTCCAACATCTCCCTACCATTTCCCATTTGACTTCTAGATTCATGGTTGTTTAGAGGAGCAGACATAATACATGTATTAATATTTCATTTACTCATCATTCAGTCATATGCCCTATTGTGCCAATGCTTACAGTTTTGGAAACAGATTGCTTTTGAGGATGTGAAGATTTTTTAAAAACCTAGGGAACAGTAAACTTTATTTTTTTCTTCTGATAATCTGATAGGCCCCCTCTCATTTCTAAATATTCTGATTCTCAGAGGATCCCTAATTTAACTGCAAAACAGTTAAGTCTTGTTCTGGCTTGAACAAATTCCATGAACTTTGTTTCCATATGAAGCACAACTTTCCTTTAAAATGTACACGCTGTGCATAGCTTTCATAGCCTCCAATTGTCTTCATTAATTGTTCCTTCTTCATCTGTTAAGATGTCACATGTAATGACAAAAGTAGGTGGCAATTCAGAAAAAAAGCTGTAATCCTAGAATAAGCGTGAGAGGCACTTTATAAGGAACAGCTAAGAGTCCATGAGTTCGGATCATGAATCCAACACTTACAAGCTGTCTCACTTGGACTCTTTGTTTAACCTTAGCTTCAGTCTCCTTGGTGTCTCTCTAATGAAATAATAATTACACCAACTACCTCAATCATTGTTGTGGAGATTAAATGGGGCAGTGCACAAAGAGCTTGGAGCACAGTGTGTGCATTTGGTAATTAAGAGCCTCCTTTATTATGGTTTGAGTTTCTGGGTTTTTTGCTCTGAATATTTTTCTCCCTTATATAGAGAGTACAGAATAATCATGTAACTCCAAGCCTCATTCACAAAAGCCTCAGCTTCTCCAAGCCCAGATCTTACCTGCCCAAAGCAATTGTTAGGTCTTTCTCTGAGACTTGCAATCCACAAACGCTTCCCTTATGTAATTCTTTCAGTTCCTTCATATTTCTCTCTGCCTTCTGCAGGTTGAAATAGGCCTCTCTGCCAGTGAAACAGTCAAGGAAAATGCCAGGCACACAAACTGCCTGCCACTGCACAGGGACAGCAGTTGATGAGCAAACAAAAGGGCCCCTTGGGAAAACGAAGCAATATTTGAAAATGGGTACTTAACTATGTTCTCTATTTTCCATGTGTGTATGTTGTCAAGAAGGAAGAATTCTTTAGAAAAGGAATAGGGCTTTGGGTTTCCTGTGGTGGTGGGCTGGAGTGGGTGGCATTTGCAGGAGTGAACAAAAACTGTAAATTACACTAGATTTCCTTCAGAGGCGTCTACTGCATGACAACAGTTATTCACTTTCCCCAAGTTGGTTCACACGAATCGTAAAATAAAGGAACTAATTATGCAGAAAGGGACTTTCTGGGTCATTCAGAAAGTCCAAGCAAAGCAGGTTTTTGGCCAGAGGCAAATAGCAGAAAAGAAAATCCCCTTAATTCCCAAACATCCTTCTATTTCCCACATTTTCAACAGCCCCCTGCTGAGGGTATAACAGAGAAAGGCCACATAGCAGACTTTGCAAGTTGAGCATCAGGACCAAAAAAGTAGAAGAGGGGATGTGTAGAGAGGAGACTGAGGACAGGTGGGCTCAAAGAGTACTCAGGATTATTCATGAACATGAAATGCCCTTAACATCTTCCAGTGGGGATGGTACCAAAAGGTTGTCAAAATCACAAACTTTTTGAGGAGAGGAACAAATAATAGTTCCCCTCTGGGAATTTGGAGAACTACTCCTTTTGTTTATTTTGCTTGGCCTCCAGCCTCACTGGAAGTATTCAATAGCATTTCCAAAAACTAAAATGATCAAGAGTCATTAAATCTGTGGTTTTTGGCTGCACATCTCAATCACTTGGGGGCTTTTAAATCAAAAGGGGTGGGCCCCAGACAGAAGTAATTCTTAAAAGCTCCCCAGGGGATTACAATGTGCAGCCTACTTTGCCAAATGGTGCTTTAAATGACCACCCATTCTCCCCATTCCTGTATACTGCCCAGCCACCCCCACCCACATCCTCATTGCTAATACTGATTTTCTTGGGTACTCAGTGAGGAGTAGGACAGACTCAGAAAACCTTCACCTGGCCAGGGGAGGTATCACTAGTCATATCCCTCCTATGGCTCAACTCAGAGCTTATCTTGACAGATAGGAGGAAAATACATACCTTTCTAAATGGAGATGAGAGGCCAGTGGAAGGCCTAGACACTGGAAAAGAGCTACAAGGCCTTGGTCCATCTCTCACCTTCCTGTATGAGACAACCTATTATGCACGTGTGGCCCATCACCAAACCCAGCTGGGAAGGGAAGGATATTGGTTCTGCAGGAGCCAGGCCACACCCAGAGTGTAGTAGAGCATGACCAGAGCTTCCAGGATTTCCTTTTTCTCCTTGTCTAAGGTCATGTTTGCCTTCCAGGTCAACAGTGTGTTCTTGGCAGACTCAGCATGTTTCTTAGCCTGAACTGGGAGGCCTGAGGAAGTTAGAGGGTGCGTGGCAAGAAGAAAGACATTAAAAAGGCTCATTTCGGTCAAAGACATTCCTGGGAGGGGATAAGGTAGGCAGTGCAGTTATCATATGGTCTGTAGTATAACATTTGTTCCTAAGTCTGGCTGTGAATCAGAATAATTTGAAATGCTTATAAAGAATATATTAATAGATTCCTGGGTCCCACCCCAGACCTATTGAGTTAGAATCTCTAGAGGAGTGGGGTCCAGGGACCTCTAATTTTAACTAGCTCCACAAGTAGTTCTTATGCAGTCTTCCTGGCTGTAGACCTCAGTGTGGAAATCACTGATAGAGAACTGAAGTGGACGCTGAGTATCCCATTCCCAATTCTGCTGCTAATGCCATGTGACCTTTTCAACCCATAAAGCTTCTCTAGCCTCCAAATGTCAAATGACAATAATTAAAGAGGCTGCCCCTTACCAAACACATGGAGAAAGTCCAGGAACAGACTAGGTTATGCCATAGAATGTTGGGCTTTTAGCTTTCTGGAAAGACATTCTATAAATACAAGGGCTCATGAATGCAATTACTTACATCTGGGGATTTTTTTTCAATCCACGATAAAGCTAGTGATACTAATTGGTCACACGTACACATAAAAAGAATCTAATTGATAAATGCAGTGGGCCCCTAAGAAGACAAAAGCAATGCCAAACCCCAACTAGATAGAAATGAGGGAGTTTTCCCCTTGTTTTATTTTTTAAAGATTTTTTAATATAAACCCTTGGGTCCAGGGCTGACTTTCCTCAGTTCACAGTGAGAAAGCTGCTCTTCTACATACAAAACCCTGACCCAGAAGATGGTCTAGTGATTTGGCACCAGGTTCCCCTCAAATGTGCACTGTGTCACAGGTGAGGGGCAGCCCCCTTTTCCAGCTGCACCCTGTTTCTTTTCCCCCTTGTTTTCTAACTAAACGCTGGTGTTCCTGGTCACTTACTGAAGTCGTTATTTGTCCAGTTAACACAGGCAAACTTGGGGACACCCAGTTTACAGAGGTACTTCCTCATCTTCCAGCCTAACTCATGTCTTTTCCTTTTCCTAAATGGAAAAGGAGATGCCCTGGGGAAAAGAGAAAAGCCAGCAGAGAGTATACTATCCTAGTTCTCCTCCACTCTACTGAAAAAGACAATGGCTGGTGTTCTCTGCAGGCACCTAGGGGCTGCTAAATACATTCACCCCCTCCAAGTAGGCCACTGTTCCCCTAATCCTCACTTCAGTCCTACTCAGATCGTCCTGCCTCTCGCCCTTGGAGCCCAGTCTCATAGCGTGGGTGCAAATCAGTGGCAATAGTGCTAACTTAAAAGGACTTGCCTTTGATGCCTACAGCCCTCATATGTTCTAAATGTGCCCGACCTCCTTAGAGAGTTACAATCCATGATGAAGCTGGTAATACTAATTGGTCACACACCAAAGGAAAGGGAAAAAAGCCATCTCTGGGAGAGCAATAAAGTGATCCAGATTCCTTTTCCCTTTTGCAGCCGTCACCAAAGTGGCGGTAGCCAAAATGAAGTTCAATCCTTTTGTGACTTCTGACCAAAGTAAAAACCATAAAGGGCATTTCAAATGAACTTCCCAAATTTGCAGAAGGTTCTGTCCTCCCCTCTTTCCAAAGAGCTGAGATGTAAGTACAATGTTTTATCTATGCCCACGCAAAAGGATGATGAAGTTCAGGTTGTGTGAGGACACGATAAAGGTCAGCAAACTGGCAAAGTAGTGCAAGTTTACTGAAAGAAACACGTCAGCTATACTGAGTGGGTTCTGTGGGAAAAGGCTAATGGCACAACCATCCATGTAAGCATTCACCCCAGCAAGGCTAAAACGGGACAAAGACTAAAAAAAATCTTGAATGGAAAGCCAAAGCTCCCAAAGTTGGAAAGGAAAATGGCAGATATAACAGAGAAACAATTGAGAAGATGCAGGAATAAAGTAATCTTATATACAACTTTCATTAACTGCTAAAATGAAAAATTAAAAGCAATCCAGAGCCAAGAAGTCTCTGTAGAACACTCAGAATCTCTCTTCTAGAAGTTTCAAATGAAGAGAAACATGGACTCTGGTTAAAGAGAAAGCTATGTCCTAAGTTAAAAGTGGCCTTCAAATTGCACTGTGTATCACAAGCACCCTGTTAAAATGCAGATTGCTGAGTCTCACTTCCAGTTGTTACCATTCACAAGTTCTGGGATAAGAACAAAGAACTCATATTTACCACAAGCAACAGGTCTCAGGTGGGAAGCAAGAATTCACATTTATAACTATCCTAGATGATATTAATGCAGGTTATCTGAGGACCACCACACTTGAAGAAACACTGAGTTAGTAAAATCTTGATAGAGGAAGTGGGATGCATCTTGTTTTTGAAGAGTGGATAGCACTTTGGCTGATAAAAGAGGGGCTTCCACTTGGAGTAAACAGCCTGAGGCCATAAAGACAAAATAGTGTCTGCCTATGTGTGTGCAAGGATGAGGCTGGGTGGATACAGGGGTTAGGGAAGATACTAAAGGAACCAGTCTTACTGAAGGGAAACTTGGAATTGAAAAATGTATAAGGTATGCATCGGCTATGTAAAATGAAGTCTTGGTTGTTGTCTTAGTCTGTTTGTGCTGCTATAATAGAATACCTGAGACTGGGTAATTTGTAAAGAACAGAAATTTCTCACAGTTCCAGAGACTGAAAAGTCCAAGATCAAGGCACCAGCCACCTGGTGAGGGAACCTCTTGCCATGTGCCTACATGATGGAAGGTGGAAGAAAAAAAAAATGGGGCACTGCATAAAGCTTCTTTTATAAGGGCCTAATCCCACTCACGAGGGAAGTGCCCTTATGGCCCAGTGGCCTCTGAAAGGCCCCACCTCTTAATACTGTCACATTGACAACACCTGCATTTTAGAGGAGACACATTCAAACCATAGCAGATGCCAAGATGAGGAGGTTGGATTTGATTTGTCAGATAATTGGCAGTCTTCATACATCTTGAGGAAGGTAGTATCAATTAGTAAGCTCACAAAAAACTCTACTAGGGACATTAGAAGCTGAGATTGCTACTTTAGAACAAGAACATAAAGTAGGCAACTGAGAGAGTCTTTTGATCAAATAGGTTGTTTCCCACAACCAGGTGGGCCCTTAGGAGTATGTCATTAAGGAGTGCAAAAACCAAATTCATATGCCTACCTGGGTCCTTAGGAGGAAGAAAGGTGACACTAACTGGAGGAGCTACTGAAAACCACCCCAAATTAGCACAGTACTCCTTCCGGGCTCATGAATGGCAAATGAAACAACCATCACTTGAGTAAGTTGCTCTGAGGCAGTCCCTGAGGCTTTGCAAGCCTGCCCTCTCCCTGCCTAAGCGTCCCATGCTGGTTGTGAAATCCCCAGAAGGAATACTTTTCCTCTAAGCTCAGCAGCTAATTGATTATACAGTTCCACAGGACCATGCCCCACACTGTGGTCCTTCTGATGCTAAAGCTGAGCTGGTGACCAACGTGGCTTAAGCAAACTGAACAGTTTGCTAGATTTAAAACAGTTTATTACACTTTAAGCCCTTAAAGGGAAAAATCACTCCTTTCACCTTCCCAGAACCCACTCTGGTCTCCAAAGTGGGGTTACATGTACCCTTATGGGTATGCAAGATGCCTACCCAAGGTGTGGGGGGAAATATTTAAACTTCTCTATTTTTTAATCTTATCCCTTTTTTCTGTTTTATGATTATTTACAATATTACGTATTAATGCTATTGTACACAACTTACAAATTCACATACACGGAGTAATTGAGTGTTTGCTCAAATTTTTTTTAGTGATAAGGGAATTAACTCTCAAGAGTTTGAAGACCATCTCTCTGGACAAATGTTTTCCAACCTTGTCAAGATGAAAGAGCTCTTTTTATATTAAGAAAAATCATATGGCTTCCTGCACTTTGTGATAATAATTATTTTTACAGTACATACTACTTGAGAAAATTCATGATGACAAAAATTACTATGAATTCAGCATCAGTAACACTTTGAAATGAATTTGCATCTTATTAACTGCAAGAACACCCTCTTTTATGTGAAAAAGAATACTGTGTACATAAGACTTATTGTTGTATGTATCTATGAAGGATGCTCAAAGAATTATGATCTCTTTCCCTAACTCCAAGCCCCACATCTTCACTCCCAAAGTCTGCTCTTAAACCAAGTCATTTTCCTTTACCTGCCCTCCCAAGCCAAGGACATGACCCTTCTCTCTGCACTGACAGTGCAGCAGTTATAGATGTAAAAATCAGGTGACAGCAAGGCCTGCTTCTGGAGCTTGAGATTCAGGAATACAAGGAAGTATTGATGAATTAGAAAAATGAGTTCAAAAATTATCCACTAAACGTATTGATCATTTTGCCTTAGTTTGGGTTGGGATTCTATCATTGATGTCTATTACACCGACTCAGGCCAGAGAGAATCTGGTCAGAGCTACCCAGTCTTTGGAGGTTGCTACTGTTACCAGAAAGCACTCACCTTTGATCATCCATATTTAAGCAGCGGGGTACAGTGATTAAGAGAGCACAGTCTATAGCCAGACTTCCCAGGTACAAATTCTAGCTTAGCCACTTACTACTATCTACGTGGCCTTGAACAAGTTACTTAAGCTATATGTGCCTCAGTTTATTCACTTATATAATGGTAATGATAATACCTTCCATTTTACGGTTGTTGGAAGAACTAATTTAATATAAAAAGGATCAAATAATGCCTGATTGAAGTGAGTTTGAAGATATATTAGCCTTTGTAATTATTATTACCAGGGTCCATTTCTCTTACTGAGTAGTTTATTTATATTTGTCCATCCTTTCGATATTTTTCATAGTGCTGCTTCAGAATCTTTGTAAAAAGGCTGCATTCTCAAATGCAAATTCACTTCAGGTAGGTATTAGACTGCTGTGGGTCAGATTAACTGGTTTTTATCATTCTCTGTTGTTTCTGTCCCAGTTTGTTT